TAATATAAGCATAAGTTAATAAGGACAGTGTGCATCAAATTGAATAATATCAATAATGATTTGAGCCTCTGTATGCATATGCATGCCCCAATAAACATGATAATGGTGGACTTTAGGATACAGTGAAGTGTTTTATTCCACAAACATCCATCATTGAAAACAAAAGTGTAGCTCTAAAGGTGACTGTATTCACAATGTGTTTCAAATGTACATCACACAAGTGCACAGTGAAATGTGTAATTATGTTATCCCACATACATGCATCCAATCATACCATATGTGAACATGCAGATGTTATGTGACGTCATACCGTGACTAAAAATAGTGAACATACTGAGGCTCCGTTTACAAACCATTTACCCTACTGATGTTGACAAATCTTTGATAGCACATTATAGGAACAAGCACTTTTTGTGCATGAAGAAAATATCGTGTTGGATTTGTGAATCTATGCATAACTTTAAGTTACAGGTCAAAATTGTGAATTTTTTTTACCATATATTTCCAATATTTTTATTAAAAAACAAATTAAAAGTGTTGTGTAAAATATATTATTTGTCCCTCAGAGCCAGCTATAGTGTCTCATGTTTGCTGTTAATCTATGAAAAGTTGTTTACGATTTTTTTTTTTTATCAACATTATAAGGAGATCAAGCTCAAATAAATTGGCAAAAGAGTCTGTTATAGTTTTAATATTACTATGCTACCTGACTGACTTTAATGTTATCTCCCATTCTTTATCCATTAACGTGATACAGCAAATAGTGTGATATTATATCCTTGTTAAAAAGTATATATTAAACTACTTTTTAGTGAGTTTCACATCCCATCAATGGCACATTATTAGTGTTTTTCTTATAATAACAGTATGTTAAAAGACAAAAACAGGGAGAGTGTTGTCTTATACATCTATAACGATATTTATAGCTTTAAGATAAGCTCTGTTAGTAAGAATGATTTCTCTAAAACCTCTCTCATAGTTTTCACTTTCAGATCAGTTTGTTTGCCCATCGATCTGTACCTTATTCCAAATGGCCCTGTCTCTACATCACTGGATCCTGTAGTTGAGTTCCATGTAGCTTGTTCCGAGTTCTTCTTTCAGAGTTTTGAGTTCCATCTTTAACTCTTGTTATTGCTGCTGTTGTTCCAAAAATATCCTTTTTGGAATGACACAGTCTGTCTGAATGTCAAGTTCCATGTTTGATTGAGTTCTCCCACTGCCCACATCGAAATGCTCTCAATATGTGCTGCGCTTACCAGCTGTGCCAGCCTGAGAAACGCAGTCATAGCGAAGTCCAGGAGTAAGATGGAAGATTTTGTGGTCTCATTTTTAAGAGAGCACCTGCGTGAGCTCCAGAAAACCCAGGTCAAACCACTGCATGAGAAAAACACAAATGAAAAATAAAGGCATTAATTCATTGCAAGCAATGTAGAAACTTTTTTGATCACATAATAAAATTCTAGGAATAGGGAAAGCAGAGGGGTTTGATCAATCTACTCCAAAACACTTTAGAAATTAATACCTTGTGCATAAGGAACATTTTCTGATGAGACGAGAAGACAAGAAGATGGAAGTGGAAGAGAAAATTGACAAAACATACACATATGTAAGACAAACATGACACAGTGTTTTACTTCAAACTGATGACTGATGAAAAATGTATTGATGTGTTACTGTGGAAACAGCCACAGTTCTATCTAACAATTAGAAATGTCTGACGATGCTGACAAAGTATGTAACAACGTCCTGTTGACAAATCTAATTAAAGGTTTGCAATACTCTGTCAACAAGCATCACTGCGAGCAGACTGGCAGAGATAACTGAGGGGTATTTGTATGGACAAATTCCAACAATTCCATTTCTAGTTGCATAATTATGTCTGGGGATATTCAGTTCCTCCAGTGATTACACATAATCTGCCCACTAAGACAAGGAACATATACTCACAACATAACATGAAATATGCTACCAGGCTAAAGTTTAGATACACTTGACTGAATTGTTTTTAAAAAGCATTTCATTTTAAAACTTACATTTTTGAAAACAGGTTTGTAGACAAATATAAATTATTTCTACATGTGATTTTTCTTAAGAAAAAATCTTATTTATTTACTGTTCAAATGTTTGGGTTCAGTAATGTTTTTTGAAAGCAATTAATACTATTATTCTGCAAGGACAGTAGACGGGAAAGACTTTTAAATTGTTACAAAAGATTTCCATTTCCAATAAATGCTGTTCTTTTGAACTTTCTATTCATCAAAGAATCCTAACAAAAAAGTATAACGGTTTCCCAAAAAATATATATATATTCATAATAATAATAATAATAATTAGAAGAAATGTTTCTTCAGAACTAAATCAGCATATTAGAATGATTTCTAAAGGATCATGTGACACTGAAAACTGGCTGGACTGAAAAATTCAGCTTTGCATCACAGAAATAAATAACATTTTGAAATATATAAAATACAAAACTTATTTTAAATGGTAATAATATTTAACAGTGCTGTTTTTACTGTATTTTGATTAAATAAACGTGGCATGTTTAGCATAAGAGACTTCTTACAAAAAAATAAAACAGTAAATAATAAATAGGTGTGTCCAAACTGGCAGCGTTTATCTACATCTTTCAAAATTCAAAGCAAAAAGGGTAGAAGAACAGATTTCAATCTTTTTAACTTAACTATGAGTTAGACAAAAGAACCAATTAAAAGCACTGACACATTTTATGCCCTACAAATTTCAAATAAAAGTTTATTAGCCTATGTTTCCCTATGACCAACTATTAGTCTCATTTATTTGGTCTTGGCAGAACAGATCTGCTACGCTGCTGAATTGCTGCTGCTGTTGGTTATTGCTGTTGTTGTTGATTATTGCTGCTGCTAAGTAAGTACAGGAACTTGCTACTGCCAATACGGTGCTGTGAATATTTAAGACATACTGCTGCTGCTGCACAAGCAGCATTTTTAATAACCAGTAGCAGATCTATACAGGTGGAGCTGGGGAAGGTGGAGGGTTTCAGAGCAAATCTTCCGGGACACACCAAGCCGACTGTTGTCGCCTAAACTGTCCATATCAGCAGCTATAAATAGTATATGTTCGCCATTCAAAAGGAGAAACCAAAACTAGGATATACGAGATATACGCAGATATACAAAATGTAAACAAAGCAGCGCTTGCTTGCCATTTTGAATATCAGTTACGTTGATAACTTTATTAATTTTAAGCGGCTCATGTTATGAAAATATTCACATATTGGAATGCTTGGGAAAGACCAAGTAACATTAGAACGGCCTTCTGTCTGTGCCGCCTTCACTTACTTACTCATTTTCATCACTTTTGCTTTATTCTCAGGCACGGACTCGTTCATATCAGAGTTCTCATTCGCACCAACATGTTGAATTGGGCAAAGTGCTGCTGACATGAGGAACACAACAAACAAACTAGCCCGACAGACGCTCACAGATGGCCGACCGTTGGCTTGGTGTGTCTCAGGCTTAAAAGCATGCTGCGAAATGCTCTAGTGGATGCTAACCTGCTATTTAAATGTAAAGCAGCAAGCTTATTGGCTGTGTATGCAACATAAACCAATCAGATTATGCCCAGTAGTTTAAAGCTGTGAATACCATCATTTTGCATTAATGACCCATCAGCCTGCGCCATCTAGAGTTTCATGACAGAACTTGGCATTTCATCATAAATTTGTGAATAGCACACAAGATCATCATTACTGACCCCACTTTAACACAAACAGAATTATCTACTAATATTACATTTCCAGCCTTTAATATCATCAAGGCTAGAGCCAAATTAGTGATGTTTTGTGGAAGGCACTGGTGGAAACTGAAGAAGTGGAAGGACGAAAAGAAATTCCAAGTTCTCAGCCAATCAGTAAATTGTATATTTAAATTTATATTTACAATATAAAAATAATTTAATATTATCTGGAAGATCACAGCCCTTTAGATTTTATTTTTTCAAGACTTGCCGGTTTCTCAAACTCTATCCTCCCTAAGGCGCACTTTTGATCTAAAGAAAGTACAAAAGCCGACATGGTGTAAGACAAGAAAAAGCAAGACTTAGCCAGGACTACCGGTCAAGATCTGAGGGGCTTTCTTGAAATTGACAGATTCCTGTTTCTAATCATTGTGAGCTTTGTCTACAGGATAAATCTGTCTGGAGTATAATGAATAAAAAAAATCTATTTTTAATGGACAATGACTAAAATCTTCTGTCTTTGTTTTAGCAGCCTACTATTACCATGTGGCCACTTCTAGCATTTTTTTATGATTTGAGGACAAAATAGAATCTAAACTTTCTTATTTTTTTTTCAAAATACAGTCAATGAAAATACTTAAAAGTTGTGATGAAACATAAGTAACAACATATTTCTTGCGTATTCTTGCACACATCTAAGTGTAAAAGATTATCGAAAAGAAAAAATGTAGGATGGGTGCTTGGTTCTATCCGTCGGTTGTTGATAGGATTTTGAGATGTGACCACAGCACTGAAAAATGAATACACTATTGCAGATGATTGTTGAGGGGCAGGGTTAGCAGACAAAATGATTGGCGGTGTCTGGCATACATCACCATTAAGAAGTCTGTCATTTTCATGGGAAGATCAAGTTGACACATTGATTAAACATTACAAGGACAAAAAAAAAGTAAAAAAGAAAAAACATATACATGGGGAAAAAACATTCACAATAGGATCTATATCTGTCAAACTTAGAAAAAGTTGACAACCTCTAGATGTCAAACTAATTATTATATAATCCTAAATATTAAATGTTAATTTGATATAAATTAAACATTTCTAATATTTTCTGTTTAATTTCTGAGGCTGCAGTCTAACATTTAATATACAGTATGTATATATATATTCCATATTCATGGAATATATGAATTCTTGTTCAGAAAAATACACACTGGATTTCAGTCTATGAAAGCCAAAATGAGTTGAGCATAAAGGAAAAGGCAGACAGAGCATACTTTTGACACGTGTAGTAGTAGTGGTTGTCGTCGTGCTGGAGGTGGTTGTTGTGGTAGTTGTTGTTGTGGTGGTTGCAATGGTCGTTGTTGAGTTAGAATTCTCTTGCACCTGCCCATATGTAAAAAGGGAGCCTACAAATCAAACACAGCAGCACATATAAAAAAAAAGTACTACAATGAAACTCTAATATCGTTGAGAACAGCTAAGTAGATTAGGATGAGGTGTTCAAAACTATTCAAATACAACTGCTACTGACTCTGTGACATCTAGTATTGTGAAAACCTTACCCAAATGTGAAAATGAGGATCCAACAAAGTCAAAAATTGCCAGACTCATGACCGTTACAGCAATGAGAAAACAGCGGAACAACAGCATCACACACTAGAGAGAAAAAGGCTTGAGTGGCGTCCAGCGCAAATGAGAAATAGCTACTTAAAGCCCACTTGCTTTAGACTCAGAGATCAATTAAAATGCCCTGGAACATCAGTGGGAGTAACTGACTTCTGACCTTCAGTCTATTTTAAGAGCTGCTAGAGAAAGACTGGGATAAATTAAAGTGGATTTGTGATGCGGATCTCTCCGCATACACAGGTAAGACACTGCCGAAGGAATCTTTGTCATGGCGTGCTTAATTCAATCGTACATTTACAGAAAATGGCAGAACCACCACAAATCACAAAATGTATCATTCTGCTCCAAAAGTTACCTAGCAAGAGAGTTTTAAGGCATCTTATATGCGTAGAATTGCACTGCAATGAGCTAAGTGAAAAAAAATCCAACATGACAGTTGAGTTAAGAAAATGTTTATTATAAATAAACGTAATTTAATCAATACTGAAATTTCTGATATGCTTATTAGAGTACTGTACCATTAGCGTAGCAATACACTAATACCAAACTACTGTGAACAATTAGAAGAGCAACCCTTGCAGAGAGCTATCTGTACAGGGGTTAGAGTTGCTGTCTACATCGTACATTGTCTACATCAGAAACGAGTGAAGGAAACGGCAAATTGCAAATAAAAATCCCTTAATTCGCAAAAAAGTTGTTACGCTCGCTTGAGGTGGTTTTTGACTAGTGCAAAAAAGGGTTAATGTGAATAAAAGGAGATGGAAACGCATTTGCCGAGTAAATTCCTCCATGCACATCAAAAAAGTCATGTGACTGTGCTATGGGATGGCAAAACCTAATCAGCGGACCCAGGGCCGCTGCTGGCCAAATGGGTGCCCTAAGCAGAATAGTATTGTTGTGCCCCCTCCTTCAAAAAATAAAAAAAAATTAAAAAAAACACCTACTATAAGGGGTCACAATAGACCTTTAATAGAACAAAAAAGCTGAATAAATAAACTTTCCATTGGTGTATTATAGGACAATATTTGGCCGAGATACAACTATTTGAAAATCTGGAATCTGAGGGTGCAAAAAAAATCAAAATAGTGAGAAAATCGTCTTTAAAGTTGTCCAAATGAAGTCCTTAGCAATGCATATTACTAATCAAAAATTAAGTTTTGATATATTTACGGTTGGAAATGTACAAAATATCTTCATGGAACATGATCTTTACTTAATATCCTCATGATTTTTGGTATAAAAGAAAAATCTATAATTTTGACCCATACAATGATTTTTTGGCTATTGCTAAAAATATACCCAAGCGACTTAAGACTGGTTTTGTGGTCCAGGGTCACAAATATATACGAGATCTCTCAATCGATTTAATGTTAAATGCTATTCATATTAATACATCCAGAGTTTGAGTTAATTTCACACTGAAATTGGTTTAATGTATATGTAGGCCAATATTTTTCCCGTTCAAGTTCAAGAAATGCTGTTCACATCAAATCAACGTCGTGTCATGTTTTTGAAATCAGTTTGATTTGCATGTTTGACCTGTCTTTTGATGTCAATCTGATGTCTTTTCAACATAATTTGCCCACTGGGTTGTGCTTGGACCCCAATTATCCCAGCTTGGAGCTATAATTTTTTTTTAAAGATTGACAGTCTGCAAAAAGTAAAGTTAAACTTTTTAAGTAAAGGCCACGCATACTGATACAACATCTGTCTAATGTTCATTCTTGTGCCACTAAAATGACTTGAAAGAGAGTCTGGTACCTCAAGGCATGTTCTTATTCTTTGTGCACAGGGCCTTTATGAAAATCCCTGTTAAATGAGAGGGCACAGTGTTTCATTGCGAAGGAAAACTGCTCAGAAAAGCTCATCGGGTTACAATAATGTTTTAGTGTCCACATGCCATGCAGCAATAACAATTCAATCATAAATACATTTATAAATTGACTAGATTAAACTCTTGTCGGAGCATTGTTAAGTTCGACATATTTGCTGCATAAAAAGAGCTGTGGAGTTTGAACCTGGTCACACCAACCCCATTCTTCCTCCTTCACCCTTCATCAATCAATATTTTAAATAAAATATATGAATTTTCAACAGAAAAATAAATTCCTGGTAGTAAGCATGTGTTTCTTCTGTGCAACACAAAAGGTGATATTTTAAAGAATGCTGGAAACCAAATAGTTTTGGTGACCATTCAATTTCATTGTAAGGACAAAAAAACACTGAGACATTTCTCAAAATATCTAGGCCTACATGTAAAGAAAGTAAGTCACAACGTTTTTGGACAAATACGAGGGTAAATAATTAATGACAGAATTGAACACTTTGTTATCATTGCAAGGGTATTCCTACTGAGGGTTTTCTTACCAGCTGCCGTTCCTTAACCATCATTGTACCAAAACCACCTACTGAGATAATGGGACATTTATTACTGGAAACCTTGCCTATATGCTTGAAAAATAAAACAGGTGCTTGCAATACAGATGCAATCACTCCGTCACTAAAAGTAGCTATTTATGGGGCATCAAGTCGCGTCAAATCAAATCAAATTTATTTGTAAAATTGTTTGCACAAGAAATTCGTACTGTTATGTTAATGCTTTACCATAGAGCATCCTGCATCAGGCAGGTTTAAAAACGCCCAGTCATGATCTAATGCATAAACATTTGCTTAATATTAAAAGCACAGAAAGCAACAACACACATTATGTCCAGCTGATTTTAAAATTCCTTCAATCTTTACAAAATTTCTCTGAATCTGTTTGCCGAGTTAAGAACTTGCCTTCATTGTAGAAACAAAGCCATAAAAGATGGACGCTAAAGAATGGCTCTATATTTAAACTAAGCTCTGTTAACCTTGTTAATGACAGGAGCAAGACTACTGAGCCAGAGAAGCTGCTAGACAAAAAAGGACAGCAAACCACTGTTTCTTCAGTGCCTTGGATAAACACAGCACATTCTTCATACTATCAAGCTAAAAAAAAATCTGTACAACAAAGCAGAATAATTATATAACATTAGTTTGTCATTACTAATTAAGAGAATGAAACGGTGGGTGTCAGGAGAGAAGTGGACCCCTAATGAGTGTCAAATCACGATGCTAAAATTATAATATAAAACACTACTGGAAAATCACATGCACAACATAAAATAACTGCAAAAGTGTATTCACAGCTCTCCGATTCAGTTCAACCTCTGAATGAAAAAGATTCTGATAGTTTGACTAAGTTTCCACTTGAGGCAATGTGGGTTATTTAGGCTAAACTTTTTCATACGTTTAACTCTAATATTTTGCTTCATTAATTGACGCATTATTTACATCTCAGAGTTACTTAATAAAAATAATGCCCGTAAATTGAATGAACACAACATGAAACACTTTTACTCACCGGTGAGAAGGAATATTGTATCCCAAAAAGCACGATACATCATTATAAGGCGTTTAAGTGACTTGCTGGTGAAGGATTTGCAGCGTCGTCTCTTTATTTTAAATCATTTATCTTTGCCAACATAGATGAGGGCACGGTCGTATTCTTTAGATTGGACAATATTACTGATAGTCCGTTGCACAGGTTAGAAATCTGACTTCCATAGTAACGCTGTGTATGTCTTCCTTCATAGTTTCATGTGTCCTACTCGACAAACGACGCCATGCCACGACTCAGGTATTTTGAACTTGAAGTCAAACGCCGTCTTACCACTGACGTCATATGAAGCCCTAACTATATATATTTATTTCTAATATTCACCATCACGAGATAAGTGGTAAAACATTGTTAACTACAAAACTACGTTACTAGTTATAATCACTCCTAGCACAGAACCCTCTCCACACCCTTGACATCCTTCTGTTGTGCGCGCCTGCGTTGATGGAGATCTGATAGTGTTGTATAACTCTTTTTTTTTTCTCGATGTAATAATTATTTTTCTTTTTTTAAGTATGTAAAAAAAAATTTGACTGCGTTGATATTCAGAACTAACTACAGAGTGAATTAAGTTTTAAAATCATTGTTAAACGTTTACTAGAAACGCGTGAGATACAGCTCCTTATTATTGGTCAGTTATTTCTTTAGAGGGAGTAGAGTCCTGGTTACACTGACCTGGCAACATCTTATCTATATTTCTATTGTCATAAATGTTAGAAGTGGCGTGGCTTCTTCTAATCCACTCCCACGGGTATGCATATTGCCTAGTTAAAATGATTCAAGACTGGATTGATTTGGTTGATCGCTCTTAGTGGTCTGCTGTTACAACACTTAAGGGGAAGAACCCAAATGTCCACAGAGGTCTTAGGTCAGTTATGCATTTCTTTGTGTTACCTAAACTGATCTCAAGAGCATTTTTTTTTAGCTTATCCAAAGATTGTATTAAATGCTAATTTATTGATAGGTCAACCAAAAACCTATTTTTGTTCCAGTGCAAAATTCAGGAGTGCCAAAATATGATAATGTTATGCTGCCCCCTAATGGAATGTATGGAGAGGCTTAATATTATTACTGCTGTTCTATACCATAAACATTTAGGTAGCCTACATGTGATGATTGAATGTAAAACAAGCTAAATGTATTTATTTAAAAAAAAATAATAATAATAAATAAATAAAAATAACACGTAAATATTCCGTTTTACAGTACCTACACAGTTATATGTATATTCCGATAGGTGGAGTTGAACTGCAGTTTAATTCGATCTCATTTTCTTTCAAATGGACTTGGACTTTCATGTGGACATAGTGCCAATGTATGGTTTGTAAAGAGCAGGATAGATTAATTCAACAGGAGTTCTCAAGAGAATTCGAAAATCTTTTACAACATTGTTTTATCTAGTCAAGAGGGTGGTTGGTTAAACTATTCTGAGGTTACTTATTATTGACATTTGTATACGTGTGTCATAGTCTCGAACTCTCTTTTCTACGCACCTTTCTCAGAGCATCAGTGTCTCATTTAATGGCGAGCACAAACTGACAACTACCTTCTTTATTCTTGGATTTCATCATCTGGATTCTTTAATACATATAAAGAGGACAGCATGGCCACAAAGGAGAAGAAGGTAGACTGTTTATTGCTGGTGTTGTTTTTAGTCAGATTTTTGTTTTTAAATTAAATAAGTTGTGAGTTTCACTGTAAAGTCACATATAACTGCTACTAATAATTCCATTTGAATAAAATATTATTTTTAAAAATACTAAATAATAATATTAGTTTTAAATACATTTAAAACAAATTTGTAGAGCACATCATGGGACTTTTTAAAAATACCTTCCACAGGCCTATACACATAACGTTGACACTTAGAAACTAAATGTTTAATAGTAAATCAATGTAATAATTTAATTGTTGTTATTTTTGATGTGAAGTTGATTTCTTTGTTTTGTCATTAAATGCCTGTTATTGTTAGTTTATTTGTCTACACAGGGTCGTGCATACACTTTGGTATTAATGGTGACCTCTACAGCTATTGGGGGAACTCTACAATATGGATACAACCTGGCCATAATGAATGCACCGACTGTTGTAAGTGTTTCATCAATTTTGTGTTGCGAAAGAGTAAAAATGTTTAAATTAATTTCATATTAGTTGTCTCTGTGTCTGTTCAGACCAGTTACCAGTTTTCTGTACTGTATTCCTTCCTGCAGTTCATTCAAAACTTTGTCAATGAGACATTTCTGGAGCGATGGGGAATACAGTTGGGGGTTTACGAGCTCACACTGATATGGACCTTTATTGTTTCCAGTTTCTCATTGGGCGGCTTTATTGGGGCCCTGATAGCAGGGCCAATGTCAGTACGTTTTGGGAGGTACGGTTAATCTTGTTGTTGTACAGTATAATTTACATGATAAAGTTCATGTTCCATGCAAATTGTTTTATTCATATTTATTTAGACTTGATGATTTAATGTAAAAAATTTGTAAACTTGAAATAAGTAATAAATCTTGAAAGTATGCCCTGTTATGTTCTTGTTTCCAAGGAAGAAGAGTATGTTGCTGAACAATGTCTTTCTCTTATCAAGTTCATTGCTTGCATTGTTAAGCCGAACAGCAAAGTCATTTGAGATGATTATCATCTCCAGATTTTTGGTTGGCATAAATGCAGGTACTGTGTATATATTTTACCTGCAAATGCAGTTTAATAGACCCTTTATATTTTGCCATTGAGATTACTAGTTTCTTCCTGGTATTATTATAAACCATATTCTCTGTTTCTATTCAGGCATCAGTATGAATGTACAGCCCATGTATTTTGGTGAGAGTGCACCTAAGCACTTACGAGGGGCTGTGTCCCTGTCCTCAGCTGTCTTCACTTCTTTTGGTCTGGTGTTGGGACAGGTGGTCAGTCTGAAGTAAGTTATATATTTGACGCATCTCTTACGACGCTAATGAGAGCGATTACCATTTCCTTATGTAATGTGAAGAATATTTTTAAATGTATTGAGTACTTTATGAGGTGCACTGAAAATACGTAGTATGCCAATGTTATTTTTTGCCCAAATTAAATAGTCAAGTATGACTGAAATGACTGATTTTAAAATGCCTGTATTTTTTTCAGAGAGTTGTTAGGTAGTGAGCCGTGTTGGCAGTACTTATTGGCTAGTAATGCTATCCCAGGCTTCATCCAACTCCTCACCTTGCCATGGTTTCCAGAAAGTCCCCGTTACCTCCTCATTGACTGTGGAGACAAAGAGGCCTGCCTAATGGGTATGAGAGCCTGAGTTTTAAGTATTGGTGCAGTTATACTGTATATTGCTACATTCTTTGCAATACAGAGTATGACAGCCTCACTGAAGTCTACACTCTTGAAAAGTAAAGGTTTGATTCTGTGAATAACTTTTAACATCCATGGAACCTTTCAAATGCACAAAAGGTTCTTTATAGTGGAAAACGGTTCTTTAGATTACAAAAAAGAAGAAAAAAAGAATCTTTTAAGAACTACCCTGTTAAAAAAACAGCATATGCTGGTTAGGTATGTTTTGAAGCATGGCAGCTGGTTTGAGCTGGTCCTTAGTTGGCCATGAGCTGGTTATAAGCTGGTTATGAGCTGGTCCTGAGAAGGAGATAGTTGCTTAGGACCAGCTTAGGACCAGCTCAGGACCTGCTTGAACCAGCTCAAACCAGCTGCCATGCTTCAAAACATACCTAACCAGCATATGCTGTTTTTTTCAATAGGGTACTCAATGAAACGTTCTTTGGGGAACCTTTATTTTTAAGAGTGTACAGATAAAACAATATTATATGTACCGGTACTTCAATAACTTTTAACACTTTAAAAAAAAGGGATAATTCAAATTCTTTCCCAGAATGTCAAAGCTGCTTTTGGCCATACAATGAAAGTAAACCATTCGCTTCTTTTGGATAGAAAAAAATAGTACAAAACGTTAGATATCTCCTATTGTGTTTCACAAAGCATGTA